ATATTTAATATGTAATATATATTATAGTTATATAAAATATTTGTATATATTATATAATTATAATTATATATTTGTATTATAAAATTTGTATATTTATATTTAATTATATATCTAATATTTAATTTAATTAGTTAACTTACAATAATATTATTATTAGTTATATGTATTATATAATGTATATTAATTTATGTAATATAATTGATATTATCAATTATACTAATAATTATACATATTTACTAATAGAAATTATTAATTAGTTATACTAAATTTACTAATATATTTAATTAATGAAAATTTCTTATATCCCATTTACAAAGAGCCAATGACTATTATTTATGATGTGATTATAATATATTTATTATATTCCATTCCGAAATAGCCAACGAATCAAATATCAATTATAGTAATGATATATATTTTAGATACTTGAACCAAATAGATGTATTGAAATGAATGATTTTATTCTAAATCCAAAATATCCGATTCCAAATCCGAATCCGATTTCGACGTGCGAACTAAACGTCACCTTAGAAAAACTTTTGTATAATTCACTATAGCATATTTTGTAGTGTAATGTATTTAAGATAAATAAGTAGTTGTAAAACATGTTTAAGAGCAATTAAGAAAATAAATATTCTTTTAGAGTCATCACAATGATATGCAACACAGATGTCCCAAAATTAGCTATCATTGCATAAGTAAATCAGTAAAGGACAGATTCACATGTGAATATGTCTGGAAAGTGTTTGCAGAATCAAAGACTCGTAAGTTCAGCCCCACACCTTTTCTATTCACAGATCTGAACGCGGTTTTGCTTTGTTGACCAATAGTACTGAAGTAACTGAACCACACATTATTAAAGTTCATCATATTATATTATGAGCCGATCCATCCCACACGTCGAAAGATTATGGATAGTTACTTTGGATTTAAAATCCTCGACCGCAATTCCTATTACTAATTATTTAGATGATATTGATTTATGAATCCCTTCTAGGCTAATCTTTGACCCGATTTAACGATGATTTCTAAGCGTTTCTAATCTAACTGTGGGTACGTTTCTTCTTTCTATGAAAAAAATATATCATATTATGAGCCGATGACCAACTCTAATTTCAAGGAGCCTCTCTTCCTTTCCTGATATTCTCAAGTTAAAAAAAAAGACTGAAAATGGCAGAAACAGTTCTCTCTTTTGTGTTAGATCAGCTCTCAATTTTTCTGCGTGAAGAGGGCAGATTATTGGGAGGGCTTCGCCAAGAGGTTCAACTCATCAGGGATGAGTTGGGGCACATGAGAGCTTTCCTGGGAGTGGCAGAAACAAAAGAAGAAGGTGCTGATCCAGGCTCCAAGAATGGATCAAGCAAGTACGAGAAGCCGCTTATGACACTGAAGATGTTCTTGATGAATTCGTAGCTCGCTTTGCTCACCATCATGCAACAGGGTTCTATGGCTCTGTTAGGAAAATTTTCAACTCCATAAAAACTTTGCGAGCTCGTCGTAAGGTTGCTGTGCAAATGCAAAGCATCAAGGCCAGAGTACTGAATATATCTGAAGGGCATCAGAGATACCAATCAGAATTCGGCGGTACTACCCAAGCGGCCGAGTCTCTTGTTGCTGTTAACAACACAACATGGCGCTATAGCAGGGATGATGCACTTCTCGTGGAAGAAGCTGAACTGGTTGGCATTGACAACCCCAAACAACAGCTAATTTCTCAACTACTCGAGGGAGATGATTCCCAACTCAAAGTTGTTTCTGTGGTTGGCATGGGAGGACTCGGTAAAACTACCTTAGTCAAAAAAGTCCACGAAGATTTAGATATTAGAAGGCATTTCCCAGTTCGTGCCTTTGTAACTGTCTCTCAACCATGCAACTTCCAGGAGCTACTGAAAGACTTGACTCGGCAGTTACACAATGAATTGAAGAAACCAGTTCCAGAATCGATTGAGGCAATGACTGCAATTCAGCTGAAACAATGTGTTAAAGATTTTCTTCAACGAGCTGGAAGGTATGCAATTGTGTTCGATGATGTATGGGATGTGGTATTCTGGAATGCAATTAGATTTGCACTACCCGAAAATGGCTATGGCAATCGTGTATTGCTAACAACACGAAAAGCTGATGTAGCCTTGCTTCTTGCAACAAATCTCAAGATTATGTCTACAAAATGGTGGCACTATCTTTCGAAGATTCATGGACCCTATTTTGCAACAAAATTTTCAAAGGAAATGGTTGTCCTGCCCATCTAACACATGTTGCAAAAGGTATATTGGGGAAATGTGAGGGATTGCCCCTTGCGATTCTTGCAATCAGTGGGCTTTTGGCTTTGAAAGACTTGAATATTGCAGAGGAATGGGAGATGGTTCGACGCAGCCTAGTGGGTGAATTAGAAGGCTCTGGTATGCTGGACAGGGTCAAAAAGATACTTTCCCTCAGTTACAATGATCTGCCCTGCCATCTTAAGACCTGTTTGTTGTATTTAAGCATTTACCCAGAGGATTTTGAAATACGTTGTCTTAGACTTAGTTCAATTATGGTCAGCTGAAAGATTTGTAGGTAAGAGGGAAGGAATGACAATGACAGATGTAGGCTTCAATTACCTCAGAGAACTTGTCAATAGGAGTCTAATTCAAGTGATTCAAAGTTTTTATGAAGGAATCCCCTTCGCTTGTCGGATCCATGATCTAGTGCGAGAAGTTGTTCTTTCCAAGGCAAGGGAACAAAATATGATCGCAATTACTACTGGACAATACACAAGGTGGTTATCTGAGAAGGTACGCCGTTTGGTAGTCCATAGTAGCAGCAACAACACCGAGCAGCACCCAGAAAGCCAATGTTATAGCTTTAACCACCTTCGATCCTTCATTACGATTGAATCCATGAATCCACTGGTATCCAGAACCTTGTTATGTAAAGTTTTAAAGAGTAGCAGATTGTTAAAGGTTTTGGATTTGAGTGATGAAAAGACATTGGAGGAAATCCCAAATGAGATTTTCAACTTGTATCATCTCAGGCATCTGAACCTATGTAGGACAGGGGTTAAAGCAGTCCCGAAATTCATAGGAAAGCTTCGAAATTTGGAGTATTTGGATTTGCGTGAAACTGAAGTCAAGGAATTACCCATGGAAATCCTGAAGCTACAAAAGCTTGAGCATCTTATGGTATTCCAGAATGTTGATTCTTCTAATGAGAGTCATGGATTTCATGGGTTTAAAGCTCCATCAAAATTGGGAGGGCTTCTTGTCCTACAATCATTGACAGCCATAGATGCCAGTAGCGGATCCGTAATAGTTAAAGAGATAGGAACATTGACTCAATTAAGATGGTTAGGGATTTCAAATCTGAGAAGAGAAGATGGAAAGGAGCTCTGCTCCTCCCTTGCCACCCTCACTAGTCTTCGGCAACTACACATTGCTTCAATTAGAAATGAAGCTGGTGATTATGAGGTAATGGATCTGAATCACCATGATCAACAACAACATTCTCTTTCATCTTCAATGCCTTCTTCATTTCTCCAATCTCTTCGTATGCTAGTATTGCATGGCCCCTTAGAAAAGATGCCGAAATGGATAGCTCATCTTCAAAGCTTGGTAAGAATAGATTTGGCTTGGAGCAGTTTAAGGGTTGAAGAGGATCCGCTTGAACCCCTCCACCATTTGCCAAATTTGGTTACTATTCAATTTTGGGGATCTTACCAAGGAGAGGGGTTGTGTTTCAAGACTGGAGGATTCCTGAAGTTAAAGGATTTGTACCTAAAGAAATTAGAGAAGTTGAAATGGCTGAAAGTGGAGGAGGGTGCATTACCCAGTCTCCACGAACTGCGTCTGATTGGACTCCCATTGCTAGAGGAGTTACCTTTGGATATTCAACACTTGAGCCATCTTCGAAAGCTGGGTTTGTCTGGGTTGAGTTCTCAACTGATGGAGAAGCTATATAATCTAAATGAAGATGGTGAAGATTATAGAAAAATTGCACACATTTCTGAAGTTGTCATTGAATTGTGGACAGATGAGGAGGGATGGAAACGTCGCCGGCTATGGGGGAAGAAGATGTAAATATTTCCTTCCTATTTCTTTTCATTTTTTTTTGTACGTTTGTTTGTAACTTCTGAGTTTATAATTTGCTTTATCTTTTATCTTATTGTATAAATATTGTGTTGCATAATCTTGTTTATAAACGGTATTGCACTCTATTTTTTATTTTTTGCTTGTTTATTTTTTTCTTTAATTGATTTAGCAAATAATTTAGAGGTTGCAGGTTAGAAGTGCCTTAGCATCTTGCACACAATTTCAATATACAATCTAAAACAATAGCCTAAAATTTTGGTACAAAATAAAAACATGAAGCCTATGTTTATACGCTGGTATGACTTAGAAATTGATTTCTCTAGTAATTAATAATATGGTAATTTTTGGACAAATAATGGTTGTATCAGTCTTTTATGCTCATCCATCTGTCCTTGTGTGACAAATTTCGAAGGAACATATTAATATTCTCAAGTAAATTATTTTCAATCATGCCCAATTGTTACGTGTGAATTAATATTATGTCAAAATATGACAATCCACTTATTACAGTCATGAAAACAATTTCTTTTTCCATGAATTGATAATCGAATGTTCGCACTATAATGCCAATCCACCAAGGTTCATTTTTAAACCAAAAATATTGAAGTTGCTAAAACTGAGAAAGCAAGTGCAGGGATGTTGCTCTTGATTTGATCTCTGTGATGTAGTACTTGATGGTTTTGTACAATAGCCAAGCACCAAAGAGACTAGTAAGTCACGATAGTTGTCGGAAATTAACTTCTGTATCTTAATTCCGGAAGTCATTTTACACCAAGTTATGTAAAAGATTTTCTACCGGAAAAAATTTTCCTGACCTCTTTTGCAGCCAAACACCAGAAATTGAAGAAAATATTTTCTGGAAAAAATTTTCAGTCCAAACAAACAGAGCCCTAAAGGAAAAGATTACAACTTGTGCAAAAGACGTGCACGTAATTTACAAGACATGACAAATCATATCAAATGATGCTAATAGGAGACTTATATCTACAGTCTGCCCCTCCCCGCAAACTACGCACAATGCTACCACATAAATCTCAGTATGTACCAAATAGAAAACAAATGATTGCTGGTATCAATTACCAAAAGTAAGCTAAATGTTGAGGTGCCATTTGAAGCTGCATCTGTGTGAGTGTGTGCAGAACTCTAGAGAGAAAGTGTCTGAGATTTATATTTTACAAGTCATGTAACTTGTAATGATGCCTACAACTGTCAAAATTACGTATTTATATCATATCTAACCAAATTCCTTGCATCCTACGCATCATAGGATGCTTTTCCCTGCAAATTCCTAGAAAGTTCTATGCAAACGTAGGATGCTTTTCCATGCAAAACTTCCTGAGAAAAATTCTATGCAAACAACTCAAAGGGAAGAAGGTCAACCCAATACCAGGAAGGATTCACATGATTCAGATATTGCCGTATCATGGGTCTGATTCATGTGTCTCTATCCTTCAAGTTGACTAAACCAGTCTGTAATTGTTCTTGTGAGGACTCTAGTGTTGTTCAAAGAAATTGTCTTAAGACCTTGAGCAACAGCATCTACAGGCGAGTATATATCTCCCACTTGCCATCTAGGTTCCTGATTGTCCAACAAAACAAATTTCAGCATAAATGGAGAATAAAAAGAAGAAATTTAGTTAGAGAACAATCGTTGACCATGTCATTTTCTGAATCTTGATTGTTCTGATTACCGTGCCACTTTCCAATTTTTTATCAAAAGTGACTTAAAGATCATGCTAAGTAATACATACACAATTGGCACAAGATACAAGGCGTAGCAACATGTCAGCATAAATTCCCAGAAAGCAAAGGACTAAAGATTATGATACAAAAGGAGAACAAAGTTACTGCAGCATACCTGTATGCAAGGTGTAATATGAGTTCCATTCAATATTATTTTCTGTAGTTTTCCACCAATAGATTCCGCTCGAGGCTTCAGTGTCTCTTCAAGGAGATCAGTCTGATCAATTGCATCAACATTGAACTTGACCTGAAAAAAGAATCAGATAGACTTAAAAGTGAACATTGAAGTTGGAGCAATTCAATCAATTCTGGTACTTGAATAACATGCTCAAACCAGTAATGTATGCTGAACATTGTATGACTTCTGGAAACAGTCAAGATTCTCAGAGGGTGTTGGCCTGAACTCTGAAATTCCTTCAGCAAGCTGAAGTAACATCCATTTGAGGCAGTTTGAGTATTAGAGAATGACCAGAAGAAAGAAAGAGCGACAAAGCCATTTCACCATTTGACAGAAAAATGATGGAGATATAGACATGTTCAGCCACAAATGTGGCAGGATTTGTTTTCCAGGTTGGATAGACATCATCATGTGAGTGGGGTGTCACCTGATTAAAAACAGCCGGCAACTGATCAACAAACTTGTTGACTGACACTGCCACTTCTGGATCGTAATCTGGAATCATGGTTCCAAAAGTATCAAGTAGTACCTTCCATGCATCTGCTGTTTATTAGTATCAATGACAGGAGAAGGCATTAGAATCAGAAAGATGACACAAGCAATTATTCAACCAAATCAGCCATATGTCTTCAATCAAATGAAGCATTGTATCATACCTATGAAAAAAATCCCAATTTGATTTTAAAACCAGTACCAGGATATTTTCATTACTACTTGAAGGCTTGCCTTGGTTTACAGATATACCTTATATTTGGTAATTGTGAAAATTGGGGAGGATTTAATAAAAGTTTCAAATAATAATTTCAAGGTCTTGAATTGATTTCTGTTTCTTGTAAATCATAAAAAATGAAAGGACAAGTTAATTATATGTCACTCTTGTGCTCTATTGCTTCTTCATGAATAATAAAGTACACGAAACATAACCTGCCATTGTTTGCAAGTAAATATCTCTGTATTCCCTAAGACCCTAAAAATAATATTCTACTCATCTAAAGCCTGACATCGAAACACTTCATGCATTAAGTTTCTCTTCTTGATAAAGCCCAGTTTTCAAGCATCATTCTGCATCGCATTGTTATAAAAGCTTTATGCACCATTAGCTTGATCAAGGATTAAATGAATACACTACTTGCTTCAGTGTCCATCATGCTCATATCTTCAGGAATAAATGAGAAACAACATTATGTGGGTTATGTCAAGGAAGGACTTAGGAGGACTCGTAGATTACAGCCTAGCATGTGCAGACTCCCCAGTCCCCCACCTCCCCTCCCACCCCCACCCCCCACAACAATCAGGGAGAGGGGGGTTGGGGAAGCCTCTATGGTTCAGGAAAATAAGGTTTAGGCCACACAAGGAATTAACTGTTAGTAAACATTTGCAAAATAAGAAAAAGAAACCAAATGCAAGAGTACAAATTCAATTATAGTTAATGATTCATTTTCTTTTTCTAATTTCTAATTATTAAGTTTTGTACAAACCGAAAAAATTATTTTTTGTTGTTACTGCTACACTTGCTATCTACAATGAAAATGCACGTATTAACATTTGAAAGTTGCAATGAAGTACACTCTCTGCAAAATGTCAAATAACGTCTCCTTTTTTTAATGTAAGTGGGAGGGCTTGAACCTGGATCTCTCACTTACTCTCCCTCCCCCCCCCCCCCCCAAAAAAAAAATCAAATAATGTCTCATTTTCTGTTTAATGCAGATAGCGTTGAGGCCTCTTTCAAAGCATTAAAATGGAATCAGGACCAAAGAGCACTTGTATGCCTGGGTAATCTTGCGTATGTTTCAAGGCCTCAGAAAATAACATTTGCAAGAAGATTCTCTTTTAGCATATCTATAAGGAAATCAAGGGTAGAGACACTTCAGCAAACTATAGTTCCAAATAATTGGTCTTCAGGAACCCAAAGAGTTGCACAGGACAGGGAATTAGTATAAGATTAAATCAAACTGGTGGTACCTATTCAAATTTTGTCCAATACGGTAGATGTACTCATCCTCCATTACATTAACAGAAGGTTTGTTTTCTGAATAGAAGAGAAAATGAAAAAGGTAAATAAACATTGGCAAGAATGTCACAACAGTCACACGAACTACTCAATTAAGTGCAGATAGAAAACTACCCAACCATGTTGAGTGCAGATCGTCAATCTGTGGATAATAAAGTTGGTACCTACAACTAGAAGCTTTGATTTGGCTACAAATTCATGATATCCACACATTAGTAGCTCCACAAGTATTTGTGTCGACACAAATTGTAGGATACAATTTCTACAGCATGCCTTGCTAGTTTCTGAAAGCCTAAGACCTACCCTCATTCTTGAGCTATCTATGACCATCAATAGAGTTCTTCTATATAAACCACCTCATAGGTAACCAGTTTTCCACTCTGTTGTTTAACACCCTTATACAGAACTTAACCCTAAAAAGTTAGACTAACTCAAAGAAAATAGTTCTACACTATCACTGCAATTTACAATAGATAAATAAAACAGAACAGGAACATTCCCTACCACCCCATCCCTTCTTCCACTCCACCAATACTCATCAGTTTACAACACAAATTCCTCCACCTAACCCAAAGTACAAGTTAGATCACGGGAAGGTGAGAGCAAAAATGACCTTCAAGAGTCCAAACAAAGCCACGCTGTTTCTCATCAAAGCTAATGTCAATGGTGATTATAATAACAACAGAGGGATTGATTTGGCAATTTCTCAGTAGGCTGCTTTTGTAAAGAGCATACAATTAATCCTGGGATTCAAAAGATTTCTATTAGACTAACGCAGCATTGATGTATGAGTAGGTAAAGCAACATAACTAATGATGTTTAATTTTAAAGAGTATTAAGAAAATTAAGAAACCTTTCACTGTGATCAACCTGAGGCATTTCGAGTGAATGAATATAGTACTGGAGACGCTTCCATAATTGGAAATATTTGACTGACAAGAGGTCCTAACTGCATCATAGCATAATACAACTTCAAAAATGAGGAATGTTACAAAAGCAATATTAGTTCTTTGAGAGGCAGTAGACAAAATTTGACACGGATTCTAAAGCAAGGGCTGAGAAACTGGGAGAACGAGTACAGTAACAACTCATCATATAAGCATATTTACAATCAACTCCGCCTTGGTATATAAGATTTAAAATGAAATTAAGGTTCAAAAACATATGACAAAATTGATCCACCAAATCTCAAGGTATAATATTTATGCAATATCAAAATATAAATTAAACAAACTAGATAAATGTTTAGATCCAAATTTCCATATAATCCTCAATGTTGATTGGCTCCAGTTCAACCATCAACTATAATGTTGTTTACATCAATTCCCTTTTATACTGAACTAATTTGTATTCTTGAATGAATGGAAGACTGATATGACTTCACCATTTGGATGAATAATAATTGGTGAACAGTTCAGTATAAGGACAAAATTACAACAATCACAAATGAACAAAAGTGCGTTAGTTGCTGTAGAAGCCATCAGCAAGCAGAAGCATAGATGCTAAAACTCAAAGCAGAAAGATCTAGAAATGAAGTGCAAAGTCAGTAATATGCACAGACATACCATTTCCACAAATATATGCAATCTACTATGGACACTCTTTTAATTTATAAACTGCATATTACACTTTCTACTTCACATTTTTTTCCCTTTATTTTCTGAGTTGCTACGTTCAGTTACCATTTGTCCTGTTTCACTTATAAGTTTACCCATTTTCTTGCTCCCTGTAACGTCACCAATTATTTCCTTTCCAAAAAAAAATCTTCACTTTACATCAACTTCATGGCATAGCTGAAGCAATATAAGTTACTCACAATCCACCCATTATATGAGCATATACTATCTGAAATATTATAAAAAATTTTCTTTGTTAATTGACAGTCATAGTATGACATTGATGTGATGGCACCTTTACATTCCTTTATGCATTAGCTTTTTCATGTTTGTTTTAACATTTTACATCTTATACATATTCCAATGTAAAGGAATAACATGACAATTAAGGAGATTTTGAGGATGATAGGCATGTGATCCGACACAATGGGTCATGTATACATCTTTCGACAACTAAGATGTTATCATCCATAGGATTATTGAAGGATTAGTAGAATTGCACTTGAAAAAGGTAATAAACTCATGCCATGGCTTGATAATGAAAGCAATCTTAGTAGCTAAAGAGCCCTTCATCCACCAAGTATGCTCTCACAAATGGCAGCAGCTGGATAAATGTCAAATATCTACAGGACATGACTTTTACTTCACTGGTGGGGAGGGCTTAGAGTGCAACGCTTCACCAACATCTACACTCACAAATCATAGAGTTCCCTGTTCATGAACTCAGACAAAATACATCAGTCAGTTGCATCGCTATCATAGATCCTCAATAGAAACCACGATTCTTTTAAATTTACCCTATATATTGGTTTGAAGATTTAGAGAGGCAATGAAAAATAGGCTGTTTGCCTGGTGAAATTTGAGCTGAAATTAGATTTAAGAAGTAGAGGTTAAATAGAGATTAGGAGAGGTAAAGGGCAAAAGAAAGGAAGGAAAGATGACTACTAAGACTTCACAGGTAAGAGACTAAGAGGGGTTTTGCTCTGAAACTTTCTTGATTCAAACTCACTCTCATTTACAAAAACTAATGCAAGCTATTCAAATAGTCTAAAACAGCAACCTAAAAGCTTTCTCTTGTAAAAAAAAGCAGCCGTTCAAGAGTAGAGTCTGTGGCAATTGTGGTCCACTACAATAGTAGCTATGTAGGATGACCATTGAACTCCCAACCATGGGTGTTCTTTGAAAGTCCACCCATGCCTGCCCATTGGACTTCCAATCATGCTTTACCCTTAGACTTCCACTACTAGTTTCAAGTACAGTATCATTATCAGGCAGCCAACTACTTACCAACAAAAGTTACAGCAACAAGCTCAACATTTGCACACTGAAAATTGGCAAATGAACCACAATCTGAATCTTAAATCAAATCCAGAGCTAAAAGATTGTGAAACTGAAGTTTTTTTCCTTTGATATATTGATGTCTTTCATGTCTTGCGTCACACTAGCTAAGCCATGGCTACAATTATTTGATCCACCCTAGAGCACCATTACCTGCTTGGCATAGTATGCAGCAGCTCTTATGTCACATGGTCGGAACTAAGAGGGAAACAAAATGCCCTATATACAAATTGAAAAGGATGATTTTACAAACTAATCTTATTATCCATAGTAAAAATGATATATATGAAAGAATACCCAAATCTAAGCAAATTTGTCAGATAGCACTGAAATGAATCAATTTGCAGGATTCAACTAGGGTGCAGGTGCAACACCAACTTCCACACTCACGAGTTGCTGCCATCCTGTGCATGAACTCATACAGACTATTTCAGCAAGTGGCATAACACAGATGCATCCTGATTCACTAAACATTGTTTTGAACTACTCATTCTACCCATAGAAGTCCATTCCCAGCTTCACATATTACATAACAGCTCTTTAGTCATTATGAGCCAGCCAGGAAGAATTGTAATCCCCAAAGGTTTTTGGGCTCTTGAAGGGTGGCCTTCAAGAGTTCATGGCCACAACTGTATAAGAAAAGGAAATCCCCATCCATGTTCCTTGGAAGCCAGTAAGAGCCAGAACTAGGAAAATGAAAGAAACTAAAGCAGAAACTGCAAATTTTTCCTTCCCCAGGAGCATTGCATGAATAGCCCAATTTATGGCAGTTAGAGATGAAGGGGGCAAAAAGGGCAATTTTCTTTCTTTTTTTGTGTGAAGGAATAAGGGTAAGTACTGTAAATACTTAAATAAAGAAAGACCTTTAGCATTGAAATAAATAAAAAATTAGCAAACATCCAATTTAATAAAGATTAATTGCTCAACTTCAACAGCAAAAAAGGTTAAAAGTCACCTTTTTATTTTTTGGATAATCAGGATAACAGCTAAGCCCCTTAAATTAGTATTGGAACAGAATTACCTGCTCAAAGTATGGTACTGCCTCCGACACTGGCCTGTTGTTGTATGATATTATTGCATTTGCCTTCATTGAGAGACAAGTATAACCTTCATTAAGTCAAAAAGTACTAAACACTGAACTATTGTGCATTTACACACATTAAAGCTGCAAAAGCATAACTTTTTAGTTATATTTTTCTTATCTTAATTAAGTTCAATTTTGGTTAAGCACTTATGAAACTTTGGAAGAAAGAAGGAACCTTGGGTATCTTCTCACAAAAAAAACTTCCAGTAAGCACTTGTAGAAGTGCACCATTGCTGCATTATAGTTAAACCAAATAACATCAAAGATAGTATCGTGATATGAATGAATTAAAAGTTAGATAAATTAGATAGCATTTTAGGCATGGTTATCTATAACGAAGTCTCATCGGAATGAAACTTAGGAGTACTAGCGAGGTTTTTAACCTTGAAGTGTTCTTCATCACCCTCACCATTTCAAATTAAACGTTCCCAGCATTTTGTTAATTCAATCAGTCACAAGTTCCTCCAATCTACCCAAGCTTAACTCGATTATCTTACGTTCAAAAAACAATTCATTGGAAAACTATCCCATGTTCAGCTCCAAAACAGCTTTACTGAACCTCTACTATGATAAAATGAATGTTGCTATGAAGGTTAGCAGCTCCAATACACATTGATGTAAAGATTCCTCAAGAAAAAAAGAGGACATGCCTAACATCCTCGGGACAAAGTATATCATTGAACATACAAACTAACTTTAGACAACACAATTAAGGCTTTATGAAGTTTAATTTGTGATCATTAATGCTCAATTAACCTCCACTCACCTATGGCCAACCGAGTAAGTGGAAGATCAACAATATCATCAAGTAAAAGGCCATATTCTGCCAATTCAGACCCCAAAATCAAATCAAAGCCAGCATGAAACCTCTCATAAATCTCCCTAGTTACTTTTTCATGATCAAACGTCACGTTATATGGCACCGAGATAATGAAATAGCCTTCATTTGCCAGTTACTAAAGCAAATAGCTGCCACCACAACAAAAACAACTAATCAAACAAAACAGATCATAAGACTCTATTAGCATTTTAGTTTACAGTAGAAAAAATTGAATTAACAACCCTCTGTTCTGTAGTAAACATCACCAGCGCAATGTCATCACAGTTTGAATTTCAATCAAGTAGACCTTGTTTTTCCAGCAAAATGTTTCCTTCCTCTTTTCCCGATTTAAAAAAAAAATTACTTTAACCACAGGAAAAAATCTTCCAAAAAAAATTAACGCTACAAGCAAATTTATTTTAGTTTCTGTGTTTCAAGAATTAATCCAAGGATTAATCTAATATACTGTATTAAAACTGTAGTTGGACAAGCAAGTTGCCACATATATTAATCCAGAAATTAAATTAAAATGTTCCATCCCAGAAATCTAACAGCACTTCATCAAAATAGCAAAAAAAAAAAAAAGAAAGAAAGACATGAAAATTATCAACTATAATAGTCAAGTTTGAAACAGAGTAAATTGTTGATTGACCTGTAAGTAACTTCAGGGACAGCTCCAACAAAAGCACCTCCCAAAAATTTAATAATGGCTTTGGGTTTTTTCCCTCTTGGAGGAGGAATGACCAAACAAGACTCAAGCCTGTCGTAAATTCTACCATTATGATTCACAAAAGAAGTGTTCTTAAAGCTATTGGGTTTAACCATTTTCATTTGGGTCCTGCAAATTGTCATTTTTGAGGGTCTTGCGCAATTCTCAGTGGGAAAAACCCCTCTGGAGAGATAATTGAGAAAAGGGCTTTCTTTAAATTTGTTGATTCTTGGAATTTGTTGAGAATAGAAGTGGTGCTAGCCACGGCGGCCATGGCCGGCCTTCTTCACTCGGAGGTTCTGGTTGGGTGTGGGGAGGGGAAATTTGGAGCTAAAATTGTGAAGCGCGGAGGCAGTACGTGGCATTTTAATTGCGCCTCCTTTGTGTCCGCTACATTTCCTATTTAGATTTGGAGTCTCCATTTTAGTGGATTTTGTGCATTTGTTTGGTGATAATTGAGTAATTTTTAATTTCTCCTTTTTTTTTTTTTTGGCCTTACATGCAATTTGTGTCTTTGAGTCTTTTTTTTTTTTGTCAAAAATCATTTGTATTGTATTAGTGTAGTAATCATTTATGTATGCATGTACAATTAAGAGACTATTGATTGTAAAATTTAGATGTGTCTCTATTTTAAGGTGCACACGAATTATACTTTATATTTAAGATTGAGTAAATTATCCTTTTATTCTCCTGTGATTTGATACTTTATCAGATAATCCCTCTATGGTTTAATAATCTATGTATAACCTTTTCATGGTTTGGGTTAAAATATCACCTTTAATTTTTCCATTAAAACTAACGGTCAATAGTAAAAAGTCAAAATCAAACTAATAAATTGACAAATTTATGCTTTTATTACTTCTTTTTTCCCTCCAAATGTAAAAAAGAAGAAATTGAAATAAAAACTACATAAATAAGAACTAGAAAATACCATTAAAATTTTGATTTAAAAACCTATAATGATATTTGTAGTAAAAAAATTGGTATTTTTGTTTCTTATTTATTTGTTTTATATTTCGCTTCCATCTTTTTTTATTCTTATTTATTTATTTATTTCCCTTCCATTTGTTTTGTAATTGGGGAAAGTTAATATTTTGAATTTTAAATTATAGGTGACAGGTGTCGAGCTTGTGCAATAATAATTACTAAAAAATCCTAATTACCACCACAATTAATTATAAAACAAATCCAAGTACTGGAGCAGGGACCCTAGGTGTGCAATGAATTACTTGATTCACCCTGTTTCCGAAGAGTGTGCTTGATCCGATATGCCAGAATTGTCTATAAAAGTATTAAATTTGTATACAATGGCAAGTAGGGTCGATTCCACAAGGAGCGGGTAGAAGTTGTTTCTTTCCAAATCAATAGAACAAAATTGGGGGATATTTGAGGGAATAAAAATGAAAATAAAATAAATAAAATTCAAAAGCTAACTCACCAAGTACAATTTACTAAAAATAGCAATTAATAAAACTCTACCCAAAGGATCAACTTTTCAAGCACGATCCAGTTAAATGATTATCGATGCAAAGATATTTCATTCATTCGTCACTAGGTTGGTTATAGCCATCAACAAGTTCTGACAGCCAATTCTTCCTTACTTTTTCGACAGTTAAGGTACGACCATTGACTGCTTTTCTAACCAAAAAATAATCCTAGGTACGACCGTAGGAATTTAATTATCCAGTTGCATTAAAGTTAGAAGAATTCAACCCTAACCAATAAACACGCTAAGAGGGTTTATTTAAATTAGATCTTACGTTTCCCCAACATAAAGTTAATTATGGTGGTTATCACTAATTATCAACTAAATTACGAACAATTTAGTCAATCGTGATAGTAGGCTATTAGATTAAATAAAATATCCGGCCGTTGATACTCAATTAATAAAATAACCATGAACAATTAATCCAGGAAACGCACGAAAGTAACAAATTGGAAGAAATAGTGAAAGTTCGATTAGATCTCACAGATGTTATGGACCGCGCCTTTGCGTCGATCTTGGAGTAGAGGAGAAATCTAGTCGCTCCTCATCATATCGATCTCGCGTGGTTTAATTAATTCAATCCACACAATTGCCAAAGAATTGAGAAAGATGAAATAAATGAAGAGGCAAACGAAAAGTTTCATCCTTTTTGTTTCGTGTTCGTACTGAAGAAAAGTAACAGCAAAATCTAAAGAAAAAGTCGTACGACACAAAAAAGCAAAAGCCGAAAACCAAATCGTCTCCCAGGGGTAGCGAAAGGAAAGCTACCCTAAAATTGTACAGAACCAAAGCAAAAGTAAAACAAAATTACATCTGACAGCCAAGGAAAAGAAACTAAAAGCTAAATCTCCTGATTACAAGTGATTCTGGCTTTTTTGAGCCTTTTGTAGCCGCCGCTAGCAGAAACAAAGAAACGTCCCGGAGCAAGACTTTGTCTAGGGATTTTAATCCCATGCATCTCTGCGGTTCACGTGGACCTAATTTCTTGATTGGCCTTGCTGCTACCAATCCCGTGGGTCCGTTTTTGGTATCTTTTTACAGTTTTGACGTGGGCACGCCCTGAGATGAAATATTTTCTGGAAATTCTCCCAAATACCACTTTTAACACCAACCACCTGCAATTTATACAAACATCAAATATGAGCAAAATCTCAATACTTCGCATAGTAAGTAACCAAAATTATGATCAAATAATATCACAAAATAGTGCCCAACAATTGTTCTATCAAATCCCCCCACACCTAGACAATGCTTGCGCTCAAGCATTTCGAAACTCGGAAGCACAATCAAGATAGCAACGATTTCATAGTCATCTATACTAACACAAATATCCCGCATTTTCGACAATATCGCCAAAATTAGAACATACCAGACAGGTGGTTATTTAAAGAACATGAATACTATTACACGTCACTTCAAGAAAATGTATAACTACTAGAAACACTCAAATCAACATCATGGGATGACATTACCATAGACTTACACATTTATCACATCTCCACCACTAAAAAGTGAACTAAATACACAAATTAAAGGGACTTTAATAGGGTTGTAATGGGGTTTAAGTAAAAGGCGGGATAAAAGGTAAAGACAGGGGGTAATGTGTCAAGAGAATGTTCAATATCCACTACATAACCACAATGCTTTCCGGAGAAATTTCACAAGTAAGGCGTTTCCATTTTCTATTCCACTGTGCAAGTGTCGAAACTCTCTCTTTTTTTTTTTTTTTGAAGAACGTCTTGCAAGGCGTGGGCACGCTCTATAAGACAGAGTCTTCACCACTTGTCGATAGCTTTTTTTTTCCCGATCTCAGATGCACAAAACTGGCACCATACAACTTCTATTCCGACAACACTTGCGACTCTAGATTTATTTGCCTTGCACAAGCAATGAAATTCAGACATCTCTTAACGATATAAGGTTGAATAAGAAAGTCTAAAAAGGTCCTGAGTTATCAAACACGACTAACACACAAAAGAGAAGGATAAAAACTCAAATCGGTTCACTATTGGGAGACAAGATGAAGGCGTGATTTGTAGAAAGTTAAAGAAGGTTAAATCCTAGGGAGAATTGTAATTTTGGTCCCCAATCTATAGTGTATGCCCTTATTGAGTCCCCAATCTATTTCGAAAATCAATTTTGGTCCCTAATCTATTCAATTTTGTGCTAAAAGTGGACAATTGACGGAATTTATTCAATTTCAACCGGAACCATGTCACGTGAGATCACGTGCCGGCACTAAAACCCCCTTTTCAATTTTTTTAATTTTCGAAACACCTTTTTTAATATTTTCAGATCTGTCTTGCCTTTGGACATATTAAACAAAGACATTAATTGCTAAAATTCTCTAATTAAGGACTGGAGCCCACCAAAAAGGTTGAATATTAGACAGAGAAAAAGAAGCTGTCATCCATTACTTCCTTCTTTCCTCATCTTCTTTCTTCCAACTCAAGAAGAAACCCTAAGAGCTTCAATCCCATTCTAATCAGACAAAACCATTTTCACATTGTGACAAAAAGTTGCAAGATCTGGGCAAAAACTTTGTATCAAGTTTTTCTATTTTCAATTTAGCTCCTCATGGAACCAATGAAAAATTGTGACTACAAGCAGCGAGCAATAATGGTTACTTCTTGGACAGACAACAATCCTGGAGAAGATATTTCACTTGTGCAATGAAGAAGGTATGATTGTCTCTGTTTCTGATTTCGAGATTTCTGTCTCTATTTTGAGTTTTGTGCTAAAGCTTTATGATATTGGCTGTGAAGGGTGACAGAGGAAAAGGATGCGATTATTTTGAATGGCATGATCCGAAAATGTGTAGAAGGTCAACAGCCCTGATTCCTGGACTACTACATAGCATGAACTCTAAGAATGCTACAATTGAGAGGCTAAGAGTAAGGGAAAGAAAATTACTGGTAGCAATTTTGTTGTTGCTACTTCTGCTGGTTATTGTGTTATTGGTGTAAAACTCAAGAAGTTGGATAGTCTTGGTATCAACTAAGCAGCTCAAGAAAATGTGTTAAGTATTAAGCTAAGCTAGTTACTGTCTGAACTTAGAGATGAAAGATATTCATCCAGATTGTAATTTGATTTTTTTTTGTTGGAATGGGTGAATGTGTAAGTTAGAATGTACTATCAGGCTAGTACATTCTGTTTATTGAATGAATGCATATATTGGATGTTCCAATCTGCTTTTAATTAGTTGTTTTTAAAGTTCATTTACAATTTAACTAGATGTTGAGTTCTCCTTGAAAAATGAATTAAATTTGAGAAACACCACAAAACAGAATGAAAACTTGAATGAAAGCAGAATGTAAAGAAACACCAGAAAACAGGATGAAGTAAATTCACTACAATCCTGCCTAGAATCCTATATAAAACTTGAAGCAGCAAGCTATGATAATTTCCACAATCCAGAACTTCC